TGCCACTGGGGTGCTCAAAAAACACAGGTTATTTTCTGTTCCTGCCACCAAAGTACAGACCAAGATATACCTGCTCATTAACACAAGCCCAACTCCRTGATTTGACACCAAACCTTCCTAAGAAGACCCAAGGTAAAATGGTGTTTAACGCTGATGGGAGTCCACTGAGATTACCAAYGTCAAAACCAAAGACCTTAATTAAAAACTGCCGTTCAGACACTCACCTTGAAATCAATTGTCACATTCTGATAATTTTGTTTGCAGAGCTTGATAAAAGGGACCAGCAGCTACTAGCTRCATGCCTGGGCTGCCACTGATACTTAGCCAATCTGGAAAATCATTTAGCCTTTCTGACTTTCAGTTACTACTTTTCTTTTAATTAGGCTTCCTGAGCTCCAAGGAGTGATAGCAGGATTAGCTAATTGCTGCCTGTAAAGATATATAGATAAAAGGAACAAGGTAGGACAGATTATTTACACTTCACTCGACTCTGAAGAAAAACTCTTCAAATTATATGATATTATTAAAAGTACAGCAGTCTTTCCTCCACTGCAGGAACAAGCACACTGTGCCAAACACAGGGAACTGACACCTTGCTATGCTCCCAAATGCTAAACCTGATCTGAATTATACAAAAGAGATTGCAGCCATTAACAACTCAGTTGGGTTTTGCCTTTCATGTGGGAAATCTTTCCAAACAATGAACATTGGAGGATGTGATCTTTGGTCAGCACCCCAGTTACTAAAGACAACAGTGGGGTAAGCAGTGGTAATGTTTGCCTACCTTAGCACGTGGTTTTCCTAGCACATGGCAAGGACTGAGCTGAGCCATGACAAAAAGATTTGGGTAGGGAGATTTATTAAAAAGAATTAAATACAGATAGGTGAAAAAGTTATCAGAACGGAGCATAATTAAAAAAAAAAATGAAGAGTATGTTGCAGAAAGGTCAGACAAACTGCTTATTCTATTTAATTTTATCTTAATCAGAAAAGTAAATATCTGAAAGTACAACAGTGATGGRGAGAGAAAGAATGAGGGTGACAGAAAGAATGTAAAAAGAAATAAAGCCTGTCCAGTAACCCAGCTCAATGAAAATAAATCCCTCCTCTCTAAGCAGTTAAAGCAAAATGTTTCCTGAACCCTGACAATACCCCATTCTTCTACTCTCTGGCTGGAAGCTGAACAACCATCCATCTATCAGGTTTGGGTGAGTGTGAGGTGGGCCAGATGGAGGATGTTGGGCTGCCCACACCAGCAGCCACTCACCAGAAGCACCCCAGGCTGTCACATCCGTCAGGACAGTGCAGACCTCGAGCATCCCCAACCTCCCAGAGGCTGATTAGAACATGCAATTGTGTGTGCTGGAGGAGAGGTGGCTGCCTCCACTGGGATTTTGTGCTCCAAATTATCCTTTCATCCCTTCCAGATTTGGTGACCTCGTTTGTGTACTAAATACACAACAAACCGCGGTGCCTGGGACATCGCTGCCACGTTGCTGACAATCTCTGCCTAAAATGCACAATATTCAAGAAAGAAAGATGTTTTTCATCCTGTGTTACCTACACTTTGGCCCAGCAGCCCAGCACCAAGCTGCTGTCTTCCAGTCTGTGAAAGTGTGAGCAAAGCTATGGAGAAAAGAACTTGTCAGGAAGCCAGAAAAAATTGAAATTCCTGGTTCATCATCTGCTCTCACCCTTAAATATAGTCATAGACTATAATCCATAAGACAGCTGCTTAGAAGTAAAAAGTACTGACACAGAGCAGTTGCTAAGAAAATATTTATTTTTTTAGTTTCCAAAATAATGATGAGTGCTTAAAGATTTTAAGGCTTTTCCATGAATGCTTACTAGCTATAAAACAAATCCATAAGAGCACTTGGACTCCAGTTTATGAAGAAGACATTGATTCCAAAAGTTTATTAATATCTCCTGCTTTAACTTAGCACAAGGTTTGCCAGAGATCATAGAAATTCCTGGAAAACCAAACTATTCTTTTATCAACAAATCTGCAAAATTTATGGGTTTTTTTTTTTAGGTATAATTTTCCTTTCTGCTGGGAATAGATCCAACTCCCATGAACAGCAGCCATTTCTTAGATTAAGTGAGAGGAGAGAGACTCCTCCTATCAGCAAAGCTGCCATATGTTCCTGAGCTGCAAAGGTGGATAAGCAACAGCAGAGCAGTATCTACACTTATGATCAATCTATTTGGATTTTTCTCAAAGAGCAGAGGAGGTGAGGAGGAACTTCAGACACCATATCACACGAAGGAAATATGTCAGGTGAAAGCTAATGCACAACAGTGGTTGTGTCCATTGGTCAAGGTTTGAAAAAACATTGCCTATCACACCCACACAATTTCTGGGGTTCTTAAATAATGACATTTATCTTTTTTTTTTTTCAAATCAGGGAGAATTTTGAAGGTCTCAGATGCTTCCCAGGTAAGCAGTGATCAAAATTAARATTGTATTTAGCTAATTTAGTGGCTCTAATGAACAATAAAGGTAAATATTACAATGATGTTTTCTGCTTTAAACACAGATCTGTAGAGGACATRTTTAGAATACTGTTTACAATCCATAAAAAAATCTCAATAAAAAAAAACCTTTTGCAATAATAAAAGGAATTTGGGTAAGTCCAGTAGTAAGTACTCTTATTGTGGATAAATTCTTATCTGTCTTGGTCAAAGAAATACTTAAGTCAGGAGCCTAACATATAACCGTAGACCATTTGAAGTGCTCAGGCCATAATTCCATTCTTCTCATCTCCAKAGAAGGAAATACATTAATATTCAGCTACAGACTGAATGCAGTTTAATTCTTTTCCCTTTATCTAGCTGTAGCTGTGGGTGAGGACTTTCCTCCAACCTGTTATTTCCTTCACTTCAGGAAGAAAACAAATACTCCCATTCCAGCCAACACGGCAGTGCTCTGATTTTTAACTCAGAAATAAAGTTCAGTGGGGCAACGCTTCTCACACGGCACCGATCTGCCTGACCTAATTTCTTCCTGCAGTTCTTCCTGCTGGTGCCAGCCCAGTGTCCAGCATTGTTACACCCCCAGAATTGCAATATGGGCTCAGGCTGGGAGTGTGGGACCCCCGTGCCAGCAGCAGATGAGAGAGCAGGTGGCGTGCAGGAAGATGCCGTGAGATTTCTAGCATGGATCAGGAGTTATGATCAGGATCAGGAGTACMCACAGTTATGATGATTAAAAGCCCACATTTGTACCTATTTTTTTTTTTTTGCATTCCTTCAAATGAAGTCAGGTTTCCTACTTTAACCAAACCCCACAACTGTTTGCTGCAGCCAGTCCCATTCCAAGTTTGTCTCAGTTACAATTCACTCCTAAAATCCAGGATCAGGTAGAGTTTGACTCCAATCCAGCCATTTCTCAGGCTCTGCCTTTAAAATTATACCTTGAAAATGAGCCTGTACCACCCAGGAGCACGGCTCTCACCAAACAATGCTGCAGCAATGCTCTGCTTTGTCTCCCTCTCCCTGTTGTGACATTGATAGAATATAGATAAATCACCCAGTGGAAGCAGGACAAGGCCTTCTGGCAGCACAATACGAAGCTTCATTCAGTAAACTCCCAAATGCTACTTAGGCATAGGAACTTAGTAAAAAAAAGAAAAAAACACCAACTCAAAAATAACCCACATCAAAAAAAACATTAAAAAAAGTCCTTCCACCCGAAAATAAAAAAAAAAAAAAAAAACCACCAAAAAACAGTAAAACAACCCAAACCCTGAAAACATTAAAAAAAAGTCCTTCCACCCGAAAAATGCTGCACAATGAATCACACATCTCAAAGCCTCCCGACTCAATCACTTCAATCCCTAAATAATGTTCACCATTGCCAACTCAACCAATTCAGGTGGCCTCTGAAAATCCAGCTGTGACTTTGCTGCTTCACAGCCTGTCACTGTCTGGACAGGTTCTAGACTCATTGGGAAACCCCAGGGATGGTGTACAAGWAAAACCAGCCACAGCCACGCTGAGTGCAAGGCAGAGGGATGCACACAAACACACACAAAGTGCCTGAAACCTCTCTGGTGGCACAAGCAGAGCAGGCCACCTTCAGGGACTCCTCCCACAATTTGAAAATTGCTTGCCCCAGGTGCACCTGTCACACCTAATCACRTTTGTTTGTATTATTATCCAAGTATTCAGAGCCTGGAATGTGTCAAAGCCTGCTGGTTTTAAGKAAACAAATGCCAGGGTAGCATGGCTTTTATAATCTACTTAAAACACATTACTTTTGTGTAGCAAACAAGATCTCACAGCTTTAGCTCCCACTATAAATCATCCTATACACATAACACCTGCTACTCCACCAAAAGAGGACATTAAAAKGCTTTAATGATTAGAAAGAAAACAAGTTTTTCTAAGGGCCACCTGGAAACAGAAATGCAGGGCATATCTCTTTCTGTGGACTAGGAATTATACTGTCAGTCATATTTAAATAAGACATATACATTCTGTACCATCCTTCCTGCWATGTTTGAATAAAGAATTAACAACCCCAAGGGTGCACAATATTTCAGTGTGCAGTGAGTAGAATATCCTTTCAATGCTACCTGTCCAGAAGGAAAGAGGTCCATTTTTTAACTAGTCATTATTCAATGCCAAACAAAACCTATACAAAAGATGTCTTTATCRAGGGATACTTTTTCATGCTATTACTTTTCTGTTCCATTCAACAAGTGAATTATGAAAAGAACCTTTACTCTGGCAGTCCAATTGTGTAGGCAAACTGGTAATAGTGCAGGTGGTCTAAAGTTAAAATTGGAGCTCTAACCTCCAGCTTACTTTTCAAGTGTGAGCCAGCCTTGACTATCCAAGCTCAGGAATATTCCCTGCTTGAGCACTGAGAGACAGGAGCAGCCAGAACTGAGGAAAGGCACAAAAATGCAATATCCTGTACAACTAAAGCAGGACATCTCAAACCCAGTGATTTAAAATGAACTACTGTGCAGCTTTCAGCAAATGGAATTTACCTTGAGGTTTGGGTTTGGTAAGCTTCCCACAGGGCTTTGAGATTGTGACAGTCTTCTGGCAGTCAGCGTTGTGAAGGGCTCTCTTCAGGTTCCCGGTCCGAGTCTTCAAGGCMGTGTTCAAGTCACATTCTCCCCAAGCCTGGAACTGGTATTTGCACTCCGCTGCAGCAAGGAAATAAAAGGCAAAATTTAAAATGCAATAGGATTTCAAAGGCAGTTGTTGCTYATAGACAAAAAAGATGTGCAACTGAGGAAAAGAATCCCAAGAAAACTTTAAAGATTATTGGTATTGGTAACTGCAGTCTACTCCCTCCSCCAAGTTTTAAAATTTAATCCTGTTTTTGCATGCATAGTGCAACTTTACATGACAAAATTTCTTTACATGACAAAGAAAATTCAACTATGAATATAAGCAAGAAACAATTAGAAAAAAAAAGAATAAAGAAAGAAACAACAGCAGTGGGAAAAATCATTCACATTCTATATGGCTGTTCCTCCACTTGTGTGATGCCAGAGGTTACCAAATAAGGGTGAATTGTTTCAAGAATGTATGTGCAATTATAAACTTCTCAAGTCTGAAACTGCAGCACTGATTTTGTTGGTAAGGTCACAATAATTTTAAAATCATGAAAGCTGTAGAAAAATGCAAGCCGTAGAAAAAAAAGCCAAGTTTGCAAGAGTAATCAARTTTGAGTTTTGAACAGACATCTTGTCCAGGACAGATCTGATGTATTTTCCTGAACTGTTACGCATGAACTGAATGATAAAAATGAAATCCACTGGTCTGAAACCCACAGGGCTGAACACCACAGAGAGCAGATTTCAGGATGCTGGGAGGCTGAGTTTATGATAAGTAGGTTGTAAGGACCGAGGAGGAGCTCTGAGGAGYTGCCTTCTGCTGCCCTGCATGGTCCAGCTCTGATGAACCTGAAATACAGCACCAAGCCCTTCACCAAGACAACTACAGAACTAAGCAGAAAATACAGACTTCCTGCTACATACTTTAAATAAAAACCAAAGTAAATTTTTTAAGAGAGCGGTGCTGACCTCCAAATTGCTTCTTCCAGTTGCAGGGAATCTTACACTTCTGAGTCTTGGTGGTTTGCTTGCACTCRGCTCCGGTGCGAGTGCCCTCGCGTGTCCCCAGGCCACAGTCGCCGTTGGTGGGCACACAGACACTCCACTGCCATTCCCCACAGTCAGACTTCTTGGCCTTTTTCTCTGCAGGAAAACAAGGAACCGAGAAGCAGTCAGTACCCAGAGCCTGGGGAGAAGTTCCCTAAATTTACCCAAAGTCACAGCACCTGAAAAGGTGAATAAGGCAGGCATTYGTAACACAACTGACTTAAAAACAAAAAGTCTGACATCCTCTTCACAATTCTGCAGAGACAGGTCAGCCTCTTTGAGCCCAAAGCAGGATGATCATTCAAACTCAGTCCCACTGCCATGTTGGCAGTTGTATTCTCCAGTGGATTCTCATCTTCAGAATGGGGAATCACCTAAAAACCCAYAGGAATCACTGGCCATGACATGCAGGGGGGCTCACTCGGAAAGGACACTCCTTTGTCACCAGTAGTTGGTGGTATGTAAATATTCTCAGTTCCAGCTGGAGCACTCTACACTAAACAATCAGAAATGTATCATCTGACATKGTATATCAGGATTTGAGCACCTCCAGGGAACAGCTGGGGGATGCAAACTTTTGATTTGCTATACTATGCCACATTTTATATCAGAATATGAATAAAACTTCAAAGGCAAAGGSGCTACATGGAAAAGTGTACCCAAATTGCTGTTAATTCGGGTGCGTTTGTTGCTCAGGGACAAAAGTAAGGGGCATGATTTTATTTAGCTCCTYAAACCCAAGTCTTAGGAGAAAAGACAGCAATGTTAACAAACCCAAGAGTTCACAAACATAATTACTTAAGCCCCTAAAACATCATGAGTAACTTTAAATGTATAAAATTATTTTTCTTCTAGGTCTTACATGTTTATGCTAACATTTTTGCATATTTCCACACAGCTAAAATGGTTAGAAAGCTTCTTTTCTTTATTTCTTTTACTGGGAACACTAATTCTGATAGACTCCCAGTTCATATTATTTGGTGTACAAGCAGCCTGAAAATAATGAGACCTTAAGAAAAACAAAAAAAAAAAAAAGGTTCTTTTAAAAACGCCAAAACTGAGTTTGACAGACATGAATTTTCCACCCCAGGCCCGTTTCTCCTATAATGAGGTCTGAGTTCATCAATGACAGAAAGCAAGTCTGGCTGTCAGTGCAGCAGCGAGTTAGTGCAGCTCTTTGTCAGAGGATTTCCACATCACACAGCGTCAGGGTAGCACTGTCACACGTGACACTGAGCGAGTGACACGGCTGCTCTTTCATCGCTCCTGCTTGCTTCTCCCTAAGTCAAGCATGAAACCATTCACAGAGCACATTTTAAGCCGCTTTGCAATACCCACTGTGTGATAAAAACCCAGGACTGCAGTCCCTGGGGCTGTCAAGCTGCCACTCGACGTGGAAACCACTTTCTGCTTCCCTGTTTAAAACAGAACAACGTGTCACAGCCACAGATCCCACCCTGATGCCAAAAGATTAACAAATAACCCGAGTTTCAAACAAAACCAGACACATTTGACATTCCCACACACACGCAATCTGCCYTGGGGATCAACTGAATTAGGCTGGACCTTACCTGGCTTCTCTTTCTTGCCAGCCTCAGTGGTACCCACGGCTGCCAGAATGAAAACAAGTGCCAGGAGGGCAGCTGTGARCACCCGACGATGCTGTTGTTGCTGTTGCATTCTGCAGATCAATAACAGAAAGGRAAAAAAAAGAATCCAAAGTTAGGCTGTAAAAAGTGGGACTCCACAACTAAAGAATTTTTGGGAAGCTCTGCTTCAGGACCACAAGACACAAGCAGGTCAAATGCAATTAGCTGTTGCGAGAATGGGCAATTATCATCATTCCAGAGGGAATACAGAGATTTTTAACTGTTTTCCAGCCTGTGTATCAAATCCCTGATCTATATAGAGATTTTTAACTGTTTTCCAGCCTGTGTACCAAATCCCTGATCTACATCACTGACGTTATCGGAAGAGTTTTGACATGGGAAGTTCTGTAATTATCGCTCTTATTTAAGAAACCTGCTAGAGAATCAAGGATCCTGACAGGTCTGGAACTTCCCTCTTCTTTTTTGACCTCTGGCTGTGTAAAAATAAGCAAATCATACACTTCACATTTCAGTTTAACAATTCCTGTAAAATAGGGAATGCTCTACCATCCACCTTGCAAGAGTTCAAGCTCTTAACAGGCTTAATTGACATCTGAAAAGAGCTTCTTTCACAAAAGCTTCTATAGGTGAGATGTGATGCATTATCTTGCCATTGGCATGTTGTTACATACTTCTTCCTTCCCTTCCAATTAGTGTCTTTTCCTAATATAAATTAAGCTAATTGTTAGAAATGCACAGCAGGCAGAGATAGGACTTGCACACCCTGCTRGAGGCTGTCCACAGCATGCTAATGAACCCAAAAGCTAGATTTGGGAAGCAAACATTCAAATATAAAAGAGGAATTAAAAACATTTGCTTGGGAGTGAAGCATCAGTCACTAACCAGTCACCAAAAGTCATTCTGAGCCTTCCCCTTCTACTTTCTATAATTTGCATTGTCTCATTTTGGCACTGTTAATCAGAATACAGGGCCTTAAATAATAACATTAAAGATATACAACCTCCCCCTTTCCTAGAGACATCTCTCCAGGAGGCAGCCAGGTACCAAGATAGTGGACTAGAGATTGCTTGGATGAAATGAAGCTTTCTCCATTTTTTTTTTTATTTTTTTTTTAATTTTTTATTTTTTTCCTTCAAACCAGGACCCATGACGCTCACGTTACACAGCCTTAAGAGAAGGTGCCAACAGTGCCACTGAGATGGCCTTCAAAATTCAGCTAGATTGATATTTACAGAGAGTTTCATGGCAGCCTGATCTCATTTGCTGAGCACAGCAACCTTAGAGGAGAAATATTTCTCAACATGAACAAAGAAAAAACATATTTGGAATTTAATTTGGCCCTCCTCCATATTCTCTGCTGGCAACCTCTTGTTCAAATGCAACATAATTATAACTGACAAGGAAAACAGGAGAGGAATCCCAAACACAGARGCTTTTAAGTATCTGGCTTTAATATCATTCTAGAATAAGCCAGATGAGACGACTTAATAGGTRTGTTGAAATAAAAGTTAATTTGAAGATGGCAAGAGAGCTGGCATTCAAATGTTTGAAAGAGCTGCCATTACCACAAGTTTCATTTACTTCAAAAGAAAGTATCATTTCCCACCGAGAAGAAAGGACCACCATTGTTTCCAGAGAACTCAAACAGAGCCCAGAGCAGAGCACGTCAGTTGCCAGTGAAACTTCGGTTTGTTTTTCCCTTTCTTCTGCTCCATGTTTCACAKAGAATTAATTAAATAAATAAAACAGATCAATGAATAAATGTATTAAACAAGCAATTAGAAACGAAATATGCAACATGCCTTTTTAGCCAGCTTACTTCAAACTGCTTCTCCCTAATCAAATGAGCACCTCTTCTATGAGGGAAGGCTGAAAGCCTTTTGTTTGTACAGCCTGGAAAAGAGAAGGCTTTGGGGTGACCCASTTGCAGCTTTCCAGTACATGAAGGGATCTCCTGAGAAGGAGGCAGAGAGACTTTTTACAAGAGAATGTACTGACAGAACAAGGAGGAATGAATTGAAACTCAGAGTAGGGTTAGATTAAATATCAGGAAGAAATTCTTCACTGTGAGGGTGATGAGGCACCGGAACAGGTTACCCAAAGAAGCTGTGGATGCCGCATCCCTGGAAGTGCTCAAGGCCAGGCTGGCTGGAGCTCTGAGCAACCTGGGATAGGGAAAGGTGTCCCTGCCCATGGCATCATTTGGTACTAAACGATCCTTAAGGTTCTTTCCAACACAAATTCCATTCTACAATTCAAACATGGTACTATCCTACTAAAAAAATCAAACTCCCCACTCAGTCCCCCTTTGCTTTGGGGAAGCTTCACCACCAGTAACACTGCCGATCACATAACATCCCATTTTCACTACAATTTGTCTTCTCACTTCATCTCTTCCAACCCACTGATGAGAATCCTTCAGTGAAGGACAAAGTGCTTTCATGGAAACACGTGCAGAAGGAGATACAAAAACTTTCATAATCAGGTGATGCCTGATGATTCTTACCTTTCCTTTTTATAYAYCCTTTTAAACATTTCTGTACTTTGTATATCTCTTACATCCCTTAACCTACATTCTTATAATTCCTGTAGCCTAGCATTCCAGCTTAGTTTAAAAATTCAACTCAACAAAAAAACCAAACGTCTKCAAGAAAGAGTCAGTGTACCCTATACTATCTTCAAACTAAAACTCCAGCCTTAAATGAAGCCTTCAATCAAAAACATATTATAGAAACTAAACTCTAAGCTCATTCCAAAAAAAAAAATCCATTAAAATAAACATTACTTAATTCATTTAATTTTATATTAGAAAATCCTAAATAAATATATTAAATTGTAAAATCTATAAAACTTACATCCATACTATACATGTGTGTACATTTTGCCATGAAATTGTACCCCTAAAATCCCAAATACCATAATAAAACCCTTTTTATCCCCTTAACCCTGTCTATATCATTATTAAAACTCACCTATTAAAACAAARCAGGGAGCTGGGATGTGGTCACACACACCCCAGAGGCTGCTGGCAGTCACTGGGACTCATGGATTGCTGTTACTAGGGAAGCTGCCTTATATTAAATTGATAGGAACTCAAATCCAAATTCAATTGACACTATTTTCAGCAAAACAGATGGGGAAAATAGTTAGGCTTTGGAGTCTGAAACATTCCCTACAAACAAAACCCCACAGATCCTTAATATAGAGTGTTTTCCTAAGGCTCGAGACTTCCCTAGAGACGAAACACTTCCCAAATGTCTGATGCAAACAAGAAATCTGCAGAGAGATTTTGTCTCCCTGCAGAGGCACCCAGGCTGCTYCCTGATATGTCACCAAGTGAAAAATCACTTTGTAAAAAGGGAGACCTGGCCTCACACTCCACCAGCACCTCAAATATGATGCAACCAGTACAACCACAGAAAACCACTGAACTGGTCTGCACATGATAAATACCAAGGGAAGGTGCTCTCACAAAATGACAAACACCCCATATGTATATTCATGAAACAGTAGGCTTTTTTTTTTTTTTTTTTTGAAAGGACAGAAAATTCCACCTACTGGAAATTATTTGAGTCTAATCTTCAGCTTTTCTTGCAAATATTTCAGTTGGCAGTTAAAAAGATTAAGATAAAAACTGGTCAGACTGAGCTTGTTTCTGCAAACAGTATGTTCTGCTGAAAATGACTCTCTCYTTTTTGATTTTACTTTTTCAAAATTCAAAGGTGATGGTTTTCCTTTGTATTAGATTCTTTTTGAAAACGTTTCTGTTCAACCTTTGATTTAAAGACCTGCCAAAAGCTGCTAATAGCAATGAAATAACAAGTTTTA